TTTTTATTAGGAAACACCTTGGCATATTCGCCATATCCGTCGTATGCTTTGTTGAGCTGTTCTTTAATAACCGGAACCAATTTCTTGCTCAATAGTCTTGAAGTGTTCCAACCACTATGTCCGTCAAATACTCCGAAAAATAATCTATCTCCATTTTTCGCACCTAAATCAATTTCTTCAATATTTGCATCCTCTACTGGACAATTTGATGCCAGTTGATTTGTATCATATCGATAAACGCCATTATTACGATGCAACAGAAATGATGTTTGTTTTTCGCGTAGCTTTAATGTAGCTTCACTTGGCGATAGAATAATTTTATGCTGTTGGTTGTCGGAATTATTATTGATTGGCAGTTTTTCCTTGTAAAAAAAATAATAAACGGAACTCGCGATTCCTGAAACGGCTACCGAACCAGCAACATATCTAAATAGATTTTTAGACTTTGGAGGTTTTTCGTTTATCGAATTCGAAAGATTATTGAAATGATACTTTGGAAAACGGTTATGTATAAATATGTTATTAGCTAAACGTCTTCTGAATAGTAGAGAGCTTTGAATAATAGGTCGATTTGTAGTCATAATTGGTATAATCAAAATAATGGAGCATATTACTTAATTATCGCCTTTACGCAATAAAAAAAAACTTGTACTACAAATTTTTATCTTAGATGTAAATGACCCACGTTATTATTAAGAACGGACGTTATTTGTTTTCCGTTTTCGGTTTGATTGCTATCCTCATTATTTAAAGTTAATTTTCTGATTAGCCCTATTCATGAAAGTTTACAAGTCATTATATAGTTAGTTTAATAATTTTTATATACTGTATATTATATAATATTAAGAGAACGTTTCTCCAGATATAAAATCCAATTTATTAAACAAAAAGCCAATCTATATCACGAGATCACATTTTTTTTATTGAATTAGCAACGCGTTTGTTCAATTTCTTTAAAAAAGCGAAATGATGTTAAATTTTGTAGGAAAACATTGCTTTAAAGCATTGAAAACAAATATTGGCAGCGTAATTTCCAGGAGATTTACGTCTACTTTGGATTCGGGAAAACCTTTTACTCCAGAAATAAAGGAAAATGAATTGGAACAAACTAAAGGTAAAACGCACGATAATTGTCAACGGGGATAATGTACTCATTTCATCAAAATTTGGCCATTAGATGTTAAACAAAAAGAATCCGTACCCTACTTACGATTAAGAGAGGTAAAATCCTCGACTTTTATAAAATTTTCAAAGATAACATTAACAAATTGATTTCAGATTCATTCCATAGACGAAGAAACCATTGAAATGATGATTACAAATTATTCAATTGTGCGGACCACAGATAATACCTTTTTTACACTTGCCGTACGACCCTGGAACAAAACTGATAAATATTATAGTAGGTCAAATCCGACCTCCTTTTTCTTTTATTTAGCCTGCGGTGATCATTAATTTCAAAGCATTTGATTTCTGTAAACAAGCAAAAAAAACAAAAGAGCCCATCACAACTTATCGTTTACAAACTGTGGTATCTAAGAAGAAAGTTAGCAAACTAGCTGTAGTAAGAAATAAAAT